TGAAGTATAAAAAGACAGAAGTAGCAGTAGGATTTGTAAAAAAAAAACACCCCTGTAAGGCTGTAAAGCTTATATTGAGTCTAGTAGCTGCTGAAGCCCTGCTAGGGTTTTTTGGGATGATGACAATTATATGCATATTTAAAAGGAAACCGAAAAAAACAGGGGAGGAAAGAAAAAAAAGAGGGAAAAATTACAGAATACACTGAGTTAATGGGAACTTCCACAATCATTGATGGCAACTAAACATTAAACAAACAAGCCTGATACATAAATGAGAGAGTTATGATGGACATCTAAAACCATGATTTATGGGTTTAGCTGTAAAATAAGGTATTTTTTAATATTCATACACCTGAAGACATGATACTAAAGCCTTATAAAGTTTCTAAGACACCTCCTTTTTTAAAAAAAAATTCAGAGACATTTAAATGATGGTCAGGTTATTTCTCTCTAGATCAATTGATTGATCCACTCCTCAATTTACAAGGCCACCTAACCTGTTAGGGGAGTGTCATGCAGCCGCCTTCATGCAAATAGAAATAGGGCAGGAGGGTCTCTCCAACCAAGGAAGCGTCTGAGAATGTATGGAGCAGAGCTGCGGTCCTGGCATCAAAGAAGCTCACTTGACCCCCTTCACAGTTGAGAGAGATGCGGATTCTCTTGGGCCTCTCAGACAGGACCAGGTCAAAGCGTTTTGACGGAGAGATGGCCGTGTATTTCCCTTCCCATTCCCTAATCCGCCACTTCCTGGTCTTGGCATGAACATCTTTCAAGTTCTCTGGCTCGCTGGTAACCCCTACACTCCATTCTCCTGTACGGTCTACAATAACATCCCAGAAATGTCGCCCTGATGAGAACATCTGCCAGCCAAGGACAGCACGTTTACCGAAAAATCCCTTAAATCCTGTGATTCTTTTTCGATCTTTGGAGATCTTAAGGCAGTAAGGATCAGCTGTGTCTGGATCCAGAGTTACATTCACTGTAAGAGGGGTGGGGAGGAAGGAAGGAAGGAAAAGGACAAGATCTTCAGCTGCAGGCCTGGTGTGTGAAAAGAACAGAACAGAACAACAGCTTTATTTGGCCAAGTGTGTATCAGTCACACAAGGAATTTGTCTCTGCTGTATAAGCTCATATTTTACATATTAATGGAAAAGAATAGTTCACAAATCATACAATCATTAAAGTTTCCTGGTATCTAAGGAAGATTAAGGTATTTAATCCTATATTTTTCTTTTTTGTTAATCTATGTTTCTATTAAGGTTACTGGCATCACAGCTTAAAATAGCAAGCAGTTGCAATTCCTATCATTCATATTTACCTTCCTGTAGTTGAAGTCCCCTTTCCAGAGTATCTGGGGAAGAAAAGAGGGGGATTCAGCACCTCATCACTGGAATTGGAGCAACAGAAGGGCCTCCCTCAGATACCCAGGTTTGCTTTCCTTGGACTCAAATCAGGAAATAAGGGAGAAGGAAAGCTACAAGTTAAAATGTCGTTGGTGGCTATATATCAGGGGTGCCAAACTCCATTTCATTGAGGGCCGCATCAGGGTTTTGTTTGACTTCAGAGGGCTGGGGTGGGTGTGGCCATATGTGGGCGTGGCTTGGTGGGAGTGACACGAGACTTGTGTAGGGGGGGCTCCTGTGGTGACCAAGGGGTAAGGCAGGACTTCCCTCAGACTCTCCCTCTCTCATTATACTCTCCTTCCTTCCTTCCTTTTCTTTTTCCTCCCCTCTTCATTCTAACATCTTCCTTCCCCTCTTTCTTTATTTTTCCTTCCTTGCTCTCCTCCCATCTTTTCTTCTTTTTCCTTCTCTTTCCTCTTTCCCTTTCTCCTTTCCTGCCCCTTCTTGCATGCTCAAATGCATGAGAGAGAGGGGGGGGAGGATCCAAGTGAGAATCCAAGAAACCTCAGCCAAGCCACCAGTCCCTTTTCTGTGACAAGAAGAATCTGTTGAAAAGAAGGACACGTTTAATTACCCCTCTGGGGAATGTAAACCAGAAAGGGGGTGGGAGTGGGGATAGGATTTTCTGAATAGACTCAAAAAGAAAAGAAAAAGTGAGTTGAGAAGCAAGTCAAGGAAAGTTGACTGTGGAACAACAAAGCAAATTGCAAGGGCTCCTTGAGCAAAAGTCACAGCAGGGGAATGCAGAGGAAACGCCAGAGGAAGAAAGAAAAGGAGACTCAGCCCAGAAAAGGCAGCCAAGGGAACGGCCCAAGCAAGGAGAGAAACCCTTCTGGCTGTAGGAAGAAATGACAATGGGTGCAAACTAGAAAGTGCAGTGAAAAGTTGGGGTTAGAAAAAGGCTGAAGGAGAGAAAGGAAAGAAATGCAGCTAAGGAGAAGATCATCTTGCCTTGACTAGTTGTAGGCAAAATTCTGATAGACTAAAGCTGCCTAAAGTTGAGTCTGTATAGCCTCAAGGATCCCTTCTGTTGTCCTCTCTGCCACCAAACCAGAAGTCTTCCAGTCCTCCCAACGAGTGTCAGAGAAGCAAAAGGGGGGAGAGAGGAGAGGGAGGGGAAATTTCCCAATTCAGAAACCCCTTGAACCTGCCAGTGCAAAGAATTATATCACCTGCCCAATTTCACTGCCTTAAGAAACTGACCCTGGAAGAGGGGTTTCCTTGCAACTGGAGTTTGTTATCCAGTCTGCAGTTTCTTTGTTTTTAAACTGCTTTTCTCATTCCTGTGCCATCCATATTTCTTCTGTGACAGAGTGTCTCCCTGCACCTCATATTTGGACTCTGCTCTCTTTGGCCACCTCCTTCTTCGAAAAAACGCTTTCCTGACCAATTCTTTTTCTTCTGATTGCTGCCTGTGTTCCCAACTACAACCGTCATAAATATGAACCCGTCCTCAAGCACCCAAAAGTAAATCTCATGGTTGTGGGAATGATACAATGGTCATAACTGTGAAAAATGGTCATAAGTCACTTTTTCAATGCCATTCTAATTGTGAACAGTCACTAAGCGAACTGTTGTAAGTTGAGAATTACTTGTTAAGGGTCAACTATGAGTAGCTAATGGTTCCCATTTTTAGCAAATCTGTAATGGGAGCAACCAGAAAGCTCCTCTTCCCCTCCTGGTGCCAAGACACAAGGCATTTTCCCCCAGAGAAATAAGGATCTCTCTTCCACTCATCCTGAAATTGATCCCTCTTTGATCCCCCTGACAGTGATCCAGAATCTCTCTTGGATGCTCAAAATGTCATCCAGTAAAACCCCAGCGGCTATTTTTTTACCTCTCAATTTTTTCATGGCATTTTTCAGAAGCGGAATTACATCACTGCAATCCCAGATTGTCCACTTTGGCTCTAGAAGTAAATCCACCGGATTCTCATATGTTTCCTTAGCCTGGAATCTGGCAAGACAAAAGAACAGAATAACACAGTTGAAAGGTCATCTAGTCCAACCCCCCCCAACTGCCCAAGCAGGAGACCCGACACTGTTTCTGACAGATGGCAGTCCAGCCTCTTCTTGAAAGCTTCTCGTGATGAAGCCCCCACAACGTCTGAAGGCAAAGCTGTTTCATGGGTTCATTCTCCTCAATCAGAAAATTTCTCCTTATTTCTAGGTTGAACCTCTCTTTGATCAGTTTCCCTCCATTACTCCTTGTCTGGCCTACAGGTGCTTTGGAAAACAGCTTGACCCCTTCCTCTCTGTGGCAGCCCCTCACATACTGGAACACGGCTATCGTGTCTCCCCTGGCCCTTCTCTTCCCTGGACTAGCCATGCCCAGTTCCTGTAACCGTTATCAACCTGCCAATAGAAGCAGCTCCCTAAAGCATCAGACGGTGCTTGAGGATTGGATAGCTATAGGATCCGGTCTGGGTTGGTTACCAGAGGTTTTGTCTTCTGAGCTTTTGGACTCAGGTTGGAGCCCATCCTCAGGGAACTTCTCTCTCCCTCGCCAGAATGTGTGCCCTGGGCTGTTCTACGCGTTGTGTTTATCTGGTCCCTGGTTGTGTGTGGCTTTCACTGGTTAAGTGGGGTGTTGATGGCCACCTATTAATTCACAGAATGCCTTTTTCTTGTGTGGCCCCGTCCTTGGCTCCTAAGTACCTCGTCAGCTGGTGGTAAATCAGAACTCCTGTGGACTGACAAGGGCCCCCGTTTCCCACGCTTCAGTCATTTCTCTGGCCAGCTATTCAAATATGGGCACCATGGTGACCCAGTGGATCCTCATCCAGAACTTCACTCATCCACCTTCATCAAGTTAAACAAGAGATCTAGTAGAGGCCACTAAGTTTCAGTTTTGGGCTCCCTACCCTTGAAAATTCTTGTGGATCTCTTGGCCAAAACAATGAATTGTATCTTACCAAATGACCGATGACTAATAGGGGTGACAGAGGTAATTAGACGATGGATTTAACATTCAAACTCATCTTGATGGATTTTAGTTCTGCATTTAACACAATTCTTCCACACAAACTAGTGTCTAAACTTAAGGACCTTAGGCTTTTTCATTCAATCTACCTTTGGATTATGGATTTCCTGACTGGCTGCTCTCAGGGGGTCAGATTAGGTAATCACACCTCCTCGGCCCTCTTTCTTAATACTGGTACACCACAGGGTTATGTGTTGAGTCCCTTACTCTATACTCTTTATGTACATGACTGCATTCCCATTCACGCCACTAATACTAAATTTGCAGATAATACAAC